TGCGTGATGGACTCATTGCTGGCATTCAGCTGCCCGAATTACAGCAGAAGCTGCTACTCTGTCCGGACCAGAATTTCTAAACTATTCGGAAAATATGTAAGCAGTAAGATGTGAAGCATGTGACGAAGACTAAGGAAGCAGTCTTGTTAAATTCATCTAAAAGAAATAATCCAAGGAGGCAGGCGAACAACAAATTCAAACCTCGAACAGATTCTCGTGCCCCAAATCCATCAACACGTAACTTCACAGATCGTAACCCTAATCCGATGGCTCAAAAATTTGGGAAATGCGAAACTTGTGGACGAACCATCCCAGATATTCTTGCATACAACTGAACTGAACTGAAGCAAGTGCATACATTTAAATTTATCACGTGGATTATGTGTGTGGCGACGGCCTGTGACGGTCGCGAAGCCCGGCTTCCTGATTGGCTGATTCATGACTGGCCGGAAAGCGCGCCTGCTGAATTCGAGTTTCGCAAGAATCTAATTTAAGAACGACTTACACGTATATTAAGTGTGGAATAAGGTAAAATTGGCAATGGAAACCCTACGGAAATGGGGTGATTTATTTGAATCGTGTACTGCATGCAATGCTAAAGTACCGAACTTTCGGTTCTTTCAGTATTATAAGTCGTACATGTACATGTAAAAACAGAGTAACTGTCACAAACCTATGGATTTATTCATTGAGGGAAGGAAGTTGAAAAGTAGACGATCAACGGACCCCTGAGTCAAACCACGGCCCATTCATGAGCCACAGACTTATCCCAATGGAATAATGTGAAGATTGGTGAATATTTCTGCTGACCCACTGGGTTCATATGCTTGTACGCTGGTGGTCAATTACACCTGTCTGCTTATCGTCTTCGCGTGATTATTTTGGAGCCACGCACTCGCTTGGCTTTGGATTACGTGCTACTAGACTTATCAAGGTGACAACCCCATACATAAGCCGAAATGTGATTGGTTCAGTCGGGTGAGTGGCGAGATCTCGCCTAGATTGCGCCCGGCGGACCCTCGCGAGTCATCCGTGCTCAAAGTTCTCATGCATCGTTTCGTTGTTTTGAGCTTTCGGTCATTTACAACTGGTACAAACATTGTAAAAAGAACCCTGTGCCTAACGAATTCGTCAGTTAACTGTCTTCACCAGCTTAACCTACGAGGTATCATTAGCCGCTTTGTCACGGGAGACTTTTCTGGAAAAGAGGTCCCAACAATTTTCCCACAAAATAACTACGGGCGATACAGAAGACGAGCTGCCTTTCTGTAAAATGCGAAACTGTTGTAAGTCGGAAATGAGGAAGAGGTACGGCGAACCCACAAGTGACCCAATAGTGGTATCTGACGTCCAAAAAAGGACACTATGCATGGCTGTATTCTGCCCCAGCGACTTCGGCACATTCAGTATTGTCAAGGCGAATACGAGCGGCCTCTAACCAACTTGGTCTTCACTGAGGAGGACATTCGTCAACTCTCGCACAGGATTACCCTTTTCAGCGCGTTGAGACCAGACTAGGTCCATCCAAGAATCCTGGAGAAGGCGTCGCTCAAACGCAAAGCATTCCTACCTGGTATTTCATCAGTCGCTTGACGAAGGTAACCCAGCCTCCGCTTGGAAGGAAGCGACTGTCACGTCAATCTACAAAACTGATGACCGACTGTCGCTTGGCAGCTACAGGCCAATTAGTCTCACTAGCGTACCGTGCAATGTGATGGTACCAGCAACTTGTTATCCTCAGCGTAACACGGATTCCTCCCAAACCGTTCTTTGGTGACGAACATGCTTGCATTTATGGACAGCGTAACCCAAGCTAAGAACAAAGGACTCATATCGGATACCATATTTTTTGACTTTCTAAAGGCTTTCGATGGAGATCCACACGTCCCGTTCTTTCACAAACTTGAGTTTTATAGGATTCAAGGGGAAGTGTTACGCCGGATTAAGGCGTTCCTATCGGACAAAACATTCCGTATGGAAGTAGGTTTGGCCTACTCTTCTTCAGTGCCTGTCTCCGTTAGTTTCTTAAGGCCCCGTTTTGGGTCCACCTGGTCCTCATCTACGTCAAGGGTCTTTAAAAAAACGCAGCAGGAAGCACGAGGGCTGGGATACTGCCAGGTTGCCCAAGTCTAGACAGGGGAAGTCGAGAGGCAGAGGTTGGGTTTGAACCACGGATCTTCCGGTCAGTAAATCCGCGCTCTAACCACTTGGACCATCTCGCCCCCCAAGGGTTTCAGATGCTCCTTCAAGTACATGTCTACTTTTTACAGACGACTTGAAATCCCGGAGTTCAAATACCAGTGTCCTTCAAACAAATGTAGACGCTGCGACACTGATCGTTGAAATGGAACCTTCCCCTGATTGATGAAAAGTGCATCCACATGTCACTCGGAGGAGACTCATTTCGAGTAGTTGGTGTTTGCACGCTGCATCTAGTACCTAGTTCAAAGCACCCTTAAAGGCCTTTTTAGTTGGGTCCTTGCACTGGACTGCTTACTGGCCCGCGCTGAGAACCCTAAAAGCAGTGCTACACTCTTTTTTCGCTTGCACGTTTCAGGTGAATGGCAAAAATAAACCCCACCCGGGAAGTTTGGGCGAAAGCTTCGGTCCGTGAATCTTGAAACCAGCTAGCTTTTTTCACGTTTGTTAGTCTGGCATTCCAACTAAATCGTCCGGTGCTTCGGTGGCCAAGTATTGGAAGTTGTCATCCACGTTTTTAGTCCATAAAGTAGCATGGATCGCGTGACTCAGTGGTTTCATCTTTAACCGGGTCATCGGGACCTGTACAACTGAGTAGGTTCGTCTGAAAGCGTGAGGTTTGATCTTGTAGCGGCAAATTGTACTGTGGGTATACAGGTGTGAACTACAGAATCACTCAGAAAAAATAATCAAATTCATCAAAATGTATTTATGAAGACCCTGAATCAAAGAGAGCCTACCCGCTGTCTATGAGTGATTCCTCTCGGAGGAGATTTGTATCCTAGAATTTAGCGACTGTTGACGGTCGCAAGCAGACTGGCACATTAGGAGGCTAGTACTATCCGTACACTTGTCCCTGTGAGAATATGGTCACTGTCTTTGGATAGAACGAAACCTAGCTTGCTCATCCTGGACTTCCTTTCTAGTAGTCAATCAAGCTGTGCAAGATTACGTCAGTCTTTGGCACTACGATAGCTCCGAGCCTTACGGATTCTTGCATTAACTTCGCACACATTACACAATTTCCAAGACACCATTGGTGTTCCATGACTGCTTGTGCCTGTTGGAGTTTAAGTGACGTGTTAACTGATCGCACTTACAGAAGCGTGATCTTACACTTTGTGGGTATGAAGCGCATGCAAAAGGATAGGATGGCTTCCGTCAGTTCACTCCAAAACACCCTCAACTCTTCTACGAATACCAGAACAATTTAGTGTATATATTTCAGACCTAAAGCTGCCACCTTGACGTGGTGGTCGAGCTTTAGTGTTGCAATGATCCCGCGGGTTACACTGGCTGGAACGTCGTTCCACAAGGTGCAACCATGCCAGGAAAGCCGAAGAGAATCATCAAGACCAAAGGCAGCGAGACCCCGTACTACGAGTAATCGTGCTACGAGGCGGTCTGTGGGTCTGTCCTGGTTTGGACACGAGACGCACGGACAACGGAGATCGCTTACTTCAGATGTGTGCCGATCACAGACTGTTCCTTTGCAGTACAAATTTCCGGAACGTCAGAAATCGCTTGACAACTTGGTGCCCACCAACAAACCATCGCCAAATCCAATTAGACCACACCGCCGTCAGTTATCGGTGGATTGGAGGATCGATCACTGCCTGCCGCTCCTCCTAGAAAGCCAGCGTGGACTCCAACTATGCACTCACGCTGTTGCTTTTCATTGCGCTTTTCAGGTGTACGCAAATCGTGCACACCTCGCTTAGCCTCTGAGAAGCTAGTGGACCCAGAGTTCAAACGAAACTGTCGGAATCAGCTCCTCAAATGCCTTCTGGACGGCATGGTGTCGGATATAAACAGTCACTAGGAAAAAATATCGAAAGTGCTACTCAAAGCCGGAGTTTGGTGCACCATCCAGCCAACCTCATCCAAGCATTGGATCTCTGATAGGACCGTGTCTTTGCTGGAGACCCGGCGACAGATTACCTTTGGCCGTCACCACAACTCCACCCGGCGCGTCATCCGACGCCAGGTGAAACTGAGTGTCCGCGCAAACCGAGAAGCTCGGTGGACCCGAAAGGCCGAAGAAATGAAAGACTCGAAAAATGCTGGAAACGTGAGCAAGCTGTCCCAGTTGATTCGTTTGACTGGTCCCCGGAAACCTCTTGTCAACTCAAATTCAACTTAAAATGTTTAAAACACATCTGGACTGCGGGCGTTTCTTACCGTATTGCTGATTGGACTGTTGAATCTTTTGATTTTTGGGTACGGTAGAAACCTTTATGGCCCCACCGATGACACCTCTGGCACTGGTGCTTCTGAAATGGACATAAACGTGCATAATGCCACTCGCCGCAGGACCAACACGATGTTGGCTGTTTTTCCTCATGCATAACAGTGGTTCGTTTCAATGCCATGAAGCCGCTTATCTACATCATCAAAGACAGCAACATCAGTGTTGACACTGATGATCCACTGCCGTACAACCTACAGTGAAAAGAAGTAAAAGAGGGAGGGAGGGGACCTAGTGCTTGCCTGTGTCAAGCATTCTGAGGTGCCTACACCTCCAACCGCTCAGTCCGACAATCTTGAAAGAAACTGACAACACGAACGCCACTGACATCGATTAGCCGCCATTTCTTGCAAAGTCTCCAGCCAAGCACAGACGGGGTCACGGGGACCCCATCCTGGAAGGCGTACAACACCAAAAACATCAAAACTCTTCGTGATCTCTTTCACATCTTTGCGCCATCCTGAAGGAGCGCCTTCCTGAAGGAGGCACGGAGAACAAAACTCGTCTCGGTGGACTGTGTTTTGGTATGCGTAGTGCATGACCGAGCCATCCTACTCGGTGATGCTGGATGTCTTCCCGGATTGAAATAGCTGCAGCTCAACCAAATACCCATTTTCTAATAACCTCGTTACTAACACGCTGACACCATCGAAAACCAGCCACGTTTCTGAGGCATCGGCGGTCGAAAATCTGAAGACGCCTCACATCTTCTGTTCATGGAGTCACCCATACAATAACACAGCCCTTACTGTAGCCTGGCACACACGACCCTTAAGATTTAGTGAGATGCCTTTTTGAGGCAACAGGTGACGCAAATTAGCCAACGTGATTCGAACCTTTGAGATTCTTGCACTGACTTCATCAAACACACTGTCAGAGCTAATACAACTATCGATGTTATTGCCAAACGAACCACGCAGAGGCGAGTACCAACGGGTATCCAGTCAA